GAGTCTCCAACCCCACCCGTCTCGGTAGCGGTACATGCATTGATAACATAATTCACAACATTAAGACGAGTAAATGTGACATAATCGAACTAGCATTGTCAGACCACACAGCGCAACTCATGAAATGCCCTATAAATAAAACATGCAAACTCCCATACTGGTATACATTTAGACGTAGTTATTGCAGAGATAATATATGAATAGTTTAGGGAGTGCTTAGGAAATATTAAATTTAATGATGTTTACTCTTGCACAGATGCAAATGACGCATTTAACTCTTTTCATGATACTTTTAAAATGTTTTATGATTTGTGCTTTCCACTTAAAAAATTAAAAAGGTGTACTTTAAATAAACCCAAATGGATTAGTAAAGGAATTATACTGTGCTGCAAACGAAAACGTCAAATGCTATATCAATTTCGGAAAGATCAGAAACACAGTAGTAGAAAACTATTTAAAGTATACTCAAGGCGTCTGAAAACTATTATTCGTCTCACTAAAAAAACTCAAAACAATCACTTTATTAACAATGCCAGTAATAAAAGTAGAGCTACGTGGCAAATTATAAATAAGAGTAAAAATGACAGTCCTATAGAAGGAATAGAAAAACTTAAAATAGCCACCAATGTACTAACTGATCCAAAGAGCATAGCTCAAACGCTGAATGACTATTTTATTGACGAAATTGAATCTCAATCTGACACAAATAAGTTTAATAATTTAGCTTATAAAATTGATATGCATTATGACTCCATATTCTTGACTCCAACAGTTCCCAATGACATTATAAATTTAATAAAATCATTAAATAATACAAGCAGCTCTGGCTATGATGAGATCATAACAAGTGTAATTAAAAGTGTATCTCCCATTGTCTCACCAGTACTTAGTTATATTATTTGTGTTTTGAAACAGCTGTATTTCCAGACAGACTAAAACTGGCAGTTATTAAGCCTATATTTAAAAAAGGTAGCAAACAGGACCCATCTAACTATCGTCCTATTGCATTGCTTCCAATTTTTTCCAAAATATTAGAAAAAGTCATCTATAATAAAATATACTCATTCTTTGAAAATAAAAATCTTTTTGTAGATGAACAATATGGCTTTAGGAGAAAAAAGAACATAAACTTGGCAATTCTACAATTATATGAAAAAATTATCATGAGTGTGGATGACAGAAATCCGGTGGCTGCTCTATTCATGGATATGAGCAAGGCGTTTGATTTTGTAGATCGCACAATATTAATTAATAAAATGGAACGATATGGAGTGAGGGGTAATGCCCTCAACCTTATTAAATCATATCTATCAAATAGAAAACAGATTACACAAATAAATAAAATTAACAGTAACACTAAAATTGAGCAAAAATATACTTCTAATCAGAGACAAAATAACTATGGAGTCCCACAAGGCAGCATTATGGGATCCCTCTTATTTATCATTTATATTAATGACATGCCTAAGATAACAGGTCATCCAATGGTCCTGTTTGCAGATGACAGCACAGTGATCTTCAGTACAAATAATAATGACTTAACACTTGAAACAGAGATAAATCAATGCTTAGGATCATTAATAGAATGGATGACCGAAAATAATTTAAAAATAAACATTGACAAGACTAAAATAATGACATTTGAACAAAAAACTAATCACAATAAACTTGACATTAGATACAAAGACAAAATAATTGCAGAAACAGTATCCACGAAATTCCTAGGAATAGAACTAGACAGAGACATGTCATGGCGAACTCACACAAATACCATATGTAAGCGACTAAATAAGCAGTCATACGCCCTATACAAACTCGCAAAAGAAGTAAACCAGAGTATTGTCATCACGGCGTATCATGCATGTGTAACATCGATATTACGATATGGTATTATTTTCTGGGGTAACTCCTCGAATACAGACATAGTATTTAAAGCACAAAAGAGATGTGTTAGGGCAATATGCTGTATTCAAACAACAGACAGTTGTAAACCGTATTTTGAGAAATTACGTATATTAACATTACCATGTCTGTACATATATGAGGTAGCAATGTTTGTGAAAGGGAACCCTAGACTATTTGAAACATTAAAAAGCGCGCGTAACAAAAATAAAATCCGTTATAGACAACACAAGAAAGCAATCTTCCACAAGAGCTTTTTAGGGATGGCACCATCGATATATAACAGACTACCTAAACATTTACTCGAAACCAGGGAAATCAATGTGTTTAAAGTAGAACTGAATAAATTTCTTGTAAAAAAGGCATACTATTCGGTAAAAGAATATTTAACAAACATTGTCATAATATGACTACAGAAATATTGACATATTGTTATTGTTATTGAACTTTTATTTCTTGACATTGATTAATATTGTATAATTATGACTTACCTATTTGATATTTGTATTTTTCTTTAATAATTTTTAAGTATGTTGTATAATTATTTTAGTTTAGTATTTTGACAATATACGTTTTGACATATTGACATTGTATTTAGCATTTAAACATTATATGAAATATTTTAACACTTTGATGGAAATAACACTGATACTTCTATTTACTGTCATGTACCAAGCAAAATCATAGATGTGTGATTGAATCAATTTACTTGGCATTATTGTAATTACTAGTTTTTTTTTTTTTTTTTTAACTTATTCTATAAAGCATGATTAACATAATATTTCTACACCAGCAATGGTAGTGTATGTGAAACAATATTTAATGTAAAACCTCAATGTACCATATACTTGGAAATAAATGGCATTCTATTCTATTCTATTCTATTCTAAAGTCAGGTTACAGACAATAGTAACTCTGTGTCGAGTCATAATTCATGAGGTTTTAACTGTAACAGTCAGGTTAGTTAATCTTTATAACCTTTTACATGGAGCTCAGCTCTTAATACTTCCGCATCTAATTATGGCGGCGGTGGATGATCGCGCGTGGGCCTGCGCCTGACATTTTGTATTTATTATTAATTCTGCCAGCTACCAGACTGTAACTATGGTCAAATGGTTTAGAGTAAAGGCTGAGTAAAGGGGTCTTCGTGTTGATGTCTAGATTGAGTTGAGTATTTTTGACAATTCATGAATATTGGGATCTTATGCCGGAATACTGAAACGTTACTCAATTTTAAGTCGTGCTTAAATATCGTGCTGTCTCTGTCATTTTACAAAGAACTTGTAGTGACAGAACTATTCTTAAGCGCGACTTAAAATTGAGTAACATTTCAGTATTCGGGCATAAGTAGGAGAAAGTGTACTGTCTAGTGTTTTCGTGTGGACTGGACTTTCTATTACCTAGCGAATCAGAAAAAAACGGGCAAAATTGAGTAAATTAAAGTACATGCTTCATATCTGATTGGTTATTTGGGGGTTAAAGGGCGTGTTGATTTGTTATAATACGTTTACAACCCATAAAAACGTAAGAACAGGTATTCCGAACCAATCGTAGGTAACCTAACCTTGGGTAATAACGTCATAGGTCTGGATAGGCGAACTCGTTTCAATTTTAAGAACATTTCTGTCCAAATATTCTAACACCACTCAATTGGGATGATGACAGGGTATGAAAATTTAAAATCTATTTAGTCCGTAAGTTAGGTAATGAAAAATATTAGACACGTATTTTTTTATTGTATAATAAAATAATACTTTGATAAAACGAATCAAAGTTTAGGAATGGGGGCTAAAACATCATTTCTGCGTATAAAATGTACATAGAAGTGACGTCACGCGACATTCCAAATCAAAATATCGTCGAAAGTATTCGTTTCTGTAAGAAAATAAAAAATACGTGTCTAATGATTTAAAATAATCTACCAGACAGACATTACAATAAAAATTAAGCATCTACCCTATTCTGTCACTACCAATTCTTTGTAAAATGACAGAGATGGCACGATATTTAAATACAACTTAAAATTGAGTAGTATTTAAGTATTCGGACGTTCATCTCTGTAAAAAAATGTACTAAGTATAATATTTACTAATCAATGTTGGTTTAGTATGATCTGAGAAATATCATCTGATTCACCACTAATAAGGATTGCGAAGTTTGCACTTCATCATGTACATTACGTAGTTAAAAGCCATTCAAAACTACTTGAAAACATCGATTAGGCACAATGCACATACATATAATAATGAATCATATTTAAAAGCGTCCTAAAATAAATTTAAGATTATTGTAGGAAAACTGAGATTCTCAGAAAGGTGTTTCATTCACTGAACTCAAAGAAACTTAGTGATAAGTAAACAAGGAAATATTTTGGTTTAATGAGTTTCTGAGACATATTTTTCTAGAAATGTGGAAACTGTCAAACAGTCTTGAAGTGTTCCATGTGTGCAAATACGGAATTCAGGGATTGAAGTCAGTATTTCTTACAGTTAAGATTTTTTTCGTTTGTTGAAGCATGGATGATTAGATTATGTTAATTAAAGGATATGCAAGATTGTCTCCAGCCACACGATGTATGCATTATTTATAAATTAGTGAAAATATTTCTATCACCACGTATTCTGGATGCCTAACTAACTAACGTGCCGGTTTTATCGATCGTTAAACCGACACAAAAATAATAAAAAATAAATATATACAGCCGTGGGACACGTCGCGCTGCCAACGTTTACATCCTACTAATTATACCGTGCTTGTTTTACTAGTGCTTTGTTTATGCGCACGCGCATCTCTGTTGCGACACTGGTTTAAAACAGTTTATAGGTGAATTTATTGCACTAATAATGTTTTTGTAAATTGACGTCTGAAATTCGTCAGAAAAGCTATTTTTCACTCAGCCAGCCACTAAATCTATTTCAGTAACAATACAATGCTTTATTTTAAAACCTTGGACGAGTTTATGACAGCGGAAATATTTACATGTCATCGGACTGTCAGAAACTGTGTAAGAGTGAGTGTTAATTTCAGCAGCGACACTTCTATCTGGATGTGTCAACGAGCTGAACATGTTAAGGCAGATCACTACAGCTAAGACTCACCTGAAAAAATAGGCAAAAACACACCCATTGGTAGTACTTGTATATCTTCCTGTCGCTCATATCTTCCTTCCCTTTCTCGCGGCTGTTGCCGATGCCAGGGTAGGGCACCTCGACGCCCACCTTCTTGTTGAAGAAGCTCCGCAGCGTGTAGGTGGAGTGGATCCAGCAGTAGGTGTTGAGCACGTCTTCGGGGATGTCCTTGGTGTGGATGCAGTCGATCGGGTTGCCGACGTACTGCCTCGTGGTCACGATCAAACTGAACGAGATCAGCAGGATGACGGTGATGGAGTAGTGCAGACGGAATACCGGCGAGTCGATGTGGACATAGTTCACTTTAATGAGATTCTTCAATCCACGAAACACGTCTAACATCTTAAACGTTTAACCTGATCATCCGTGTGTCTGTGTTCACTAACATTATTTATTGTTTCGAAGCACCAAGATTACACTATTTATAACGTAAGGCACTGTTTAGTTTGGCAGTGAGATTGTCCCGGGTCATGCCACTGCGCGCGTCCTCTCACTCTCACGTCGCTCTAACTTGTTCGGTATCTTGATGAACTTGAGCAGTGACAGCGCTTGGCTCATGTTTTCTTCGTTTCATGGTGTGGCGAGTGCGTGCGCGCGCGCGGCCGCCATGCCGGCATCGCGCCCCGCTCATCCAGCGGCCGATGACGCCGCGCTGCGTAACGCTTAGGAAATTAATCTTCTACGAATTAACGTAAACTAGATTACCAGGTCAGATGTTCTAGTACAAATTTATGAGTTCACACGTCGTCGATCCGCCGGAGCACCCGCGTCTCAGCCGCGCCGCACCCGTGTGCTAATCGGTGTAGGAAACTGATGAAAAATATTTAAATTATGATCCTAAATACAGCCAGTGTATTCCCTGCGGCTTAATTTATGCGTCGCTGTGAGTCAGAGGCGAGAGGTGCAGGAGAGCGGTGCTACTGGGAGTGACTAACCGCAATATTATGATAACTGTAGTAGTTAACGAGCGCGCACCTCGTGCGAGGTATATCGGCATTAGATATTTATTACTGCTGCTAGTACCCGAGCCGACGTAAGCTCCGAATGCAATCACCGCGCGGTCTATAAGGCGGGCTCTATATATTTATTGTGTCCACCAATCCCTTCATTGTGGGATATTTTAAACAACAATGACAATCTTTAGGAGAGTATCACGTGTTTCTGAGAATTCTATTTCTCGAGCCGAGACAATTTATGGGCCAGTGCTGGTTCAAGGCCCGGTTTGTCACAAAGTGTGCCACGCGCCGATGTTTCTGTTAAATTGTGCTAATATTTACACGTAAGATTTTAAGAGCTCCTTTGAAATATTATATTTAGTAGCCATTGTTTGAGATGATTCAGCTCTTGTCTCAGGGCCGCTTGGCTTTTAACCGACCGGACTTAAATGATGACAACTATTTCCTCGTTATTTTAGATCAAAGGCGAAATATTTAGTTTTGTGGTTCAACTCTAACGAAATTGTTTAAACATATGTATAGTTACTATAATAAAAACATTAGGTAAACTTTTTTGCAACCACAGACAATGAAACCACAAACAACGTGACGTAAAATTGCGCGCGAAACAAAGTTGTCACACAATCGTTTCATGACTTTTAAATCGTTATTAATCTGTGTAAGCCTCTTATGAGCCATGTGTTTTACAACGGATTTGTTTTAAAATACAATATTCATTACAGACTATAGAATAACATGTAATATGTTATAAAGAACAAAGCATATTATGTTGGTTGCACTTAAAAGCTCACAGAATACATCAAAGGATTACAGAGGGCCGGCTCAAGAGTAATTTATCAATATCTTACTAATCGTGGTATTTGTAACTTTGTATGTATCTATTCTCAAACTCGGAGATACTAAACTTACACTTTATTTTAATCGAGACTGATAGAAGAATAGTTGCTAATTTTCTGTATACATATTGTGTGATTAGGTATCGTTTAGATTAGTATTGTTGCCCTACACTTAGATTTTTTCCTGTATCGTGGGTGTGTTTACAAACAAACAAGTTCATATACACATGACACCCAGACCCGGAACAACAATATGTGAATCCCATACAGAGTTGTTCCGGGCGAGAATCGAACCCGCGACGCGTTGCGCTGCAGCCAATTGCCCAGACATCGCACTAACCGTGCAGTGTAACGTAATTTGACAAATTAATTATATATCTGACTAGCCTATGATTATTTCCTATAAACGTAGCATGATTGGCATAAAACCTATCAAACCACGATTTATTATATAGTTTTCCTATTTCATTATATAATTGACATTAAGAAGTACCTACCTACTCTACTACTAACTACCTACCTAAGGACTTTAAATTATGCCCGATGCAACAAACTGTGGTACAACAGGAATAACAATATTTTTTCATTCAAAACTTATTTACATACGTAAGAGAAGGAACCAAGCAGTATTACATACCTATATTAGTATTATTTTCTGTGTGAGAGCACACGTATCTTGTGAATGTTTTGGTTGCCAACATTTTGTATTTCACGTTGTATGCAATTCATATTGCGGATATGGAAATTTTTATATTTTTTTTAAGTTTATAAAGATGTAAAGAGCTTTGTCTTGCATGTAATTATAGTTGGTACATCAAATACGTTTTAGGCATCTAAAATATTTCTGCCATATGATTATGATATTATTTTAACGATAACATAAATTATATTAAGACAGATGGCAGCCAATCCCTCAAATCAAATTAATTGCAATAATTAAAAATAATTTTACAGTTAACAGCCGGAGATAATTACAAAGATTTATCGATTGCTAATCTGACAATAAAATAATATTGCCATAATAAATAAAAGCAGAGACAAACTATTTGTCAAAATTAAGCGGTTGAAATCTGGCAATCTTGTAGGGTTGCCAGCTCTTTTTTTTGGGATCGTGAATTATGTATCACACGCCGCATCCTTAGCTGTTTGGCAAAGAAAAAGCTGCCAAGTGTAACGTATGTACTTAAATATTTCCCATGCCTTGTATTCCTGACTCGCGCTAATATTTTTATTTAACATTTCTTACAAATATATCTTTGTATTATTTTGCTTACGTTAATGTATATTTTTGTCTACGAATACTTCATTTTTTTTTAAATCAGAAGATATATTTAAGTTAAGCGATATATGAACCAAATTAGGTACAGTGGCCAGCAGATAGACCAACCCTAATCTGTCAAAATTCATTGAATTTTTGAATTTATGTCAATATAATAAAGTTGAAGATGTAATAGAGTTTGACAGAAAAGGATAGATTAACATGCTGGTCACCGTACTATTAATGTTTTTCTCTTACTTTTCTTAAACAAACGGGGCAACACTAGGATTTTCTCCTGTGTCGTGGGTGTGTTTACAAACATACAAGTTCACATACACATGACACCCAGACCAGGAACAACAATTTGTGGATCACACAAAGAGTTGCTCCGTACAGGAATCCAACCGGCGACACGTTGCGTGGCAGACGGTTGATGAGCCAATAACCGATTATGTATTTAAACTTACCTATGTCTTCTTGACAATGTTATTAATGAACTAACATACCCTTTTGTCTCCTAAAACACAGTGCAGTCCAATGATGCGTGTTACTGCACCCACTGACATTCCCATATACCATGGGTCATAAGGCAATAATGCTTTCAACCATGGGATTCATGGGATAAATTGGACAATCAGAATAAAATTGAAAATTGCCTATAGAATGTTCTTTATTATCGTCATAAATGTTATTTTACGAAATTTTGAATAGCAACGGAGTTACAATACGCAAAGTCTTGGTCGGTTTTGTTATTATTATAATTCTATATATTGAAAGGAGAGCGTATTACTATTATCGGGCTTAGTTTTTGATTTGGAGCACTTATTAATGATTTAAAAATTAAATAAGTCTTTAGTACTTTACCCGACTGCTTCGTTGGCCGAGTGGTCGCAATTCTCTGGTTCGATTCTCGGGTCGGGCAAAGTATTATTGGGTTTTTAAAAACAAAAATTCTCAGTAGCAGCACGGAGTCTGGAATTGTGACCGGTATATGGCAATAGGTTCACTTTCTATTACATGGGACTCATAACATAAATAGTGAAAAGTGGGTGTTACATTGTACACTGGCATTAAACTGTCAAACACCAAGCGGTCACCGGTGACCGCAACCTATTGTTCTTTAATTGTGTCTATAAATACAGTACTCGACGAGTTAATGTGCATCTCTACCTACCCATTCGGGGATAAAAGGCGTGATGTTATGTTACTTTACCCGAGACGACAAACCACAGACAGTCGAACTTAAGACCACTTATTCAACCACCACACTTAAAAATTATTTACAATTGAACCAACGGTACTCCAAGCTTCCACCCAAAACGCAATAAAAATAACGTCTGATTGCCTATAAACTGTAAATTGATACACATCAGATTTTAAATGTACTAAAATAATTTATACTGTGGCAACCCTGGCCGCCCATTAACGATCTCCTTAATTTACGACGCCCATTCAAAGGAACGTTGTTCCGCTCACCATATTATTATTTTTTTAATTTTCCTCTGTTTTACTTAACTGTGTTAATTTCGTATATTTTTGTTTTACTAATCGATTTTGGGTCAAGGACGGGCTAACTACGGCAGGAAACGGACGCAAGCGCATAATTACGAGAATTATGCGTTCGGGAAGTTTCGGCAATGTTCGGATGTCGTGTCGGTTAGGTATGTGATTTATTTTTTTATGTCGGATGTGTGTAGGTTAGATATATTATGTATTATGAATTATATCCTATTGAAAATTATATTTTTTTTTTGTTTTATAATTTTTGAGAACCCAGATTGAAGAGTACTATTTATTGAGACTTTATTAATAAGAATTTCGAAAATATCAAGCAATGTTCACAAATGAATACTTGGCAAGAGCATATAATATCAATTTACCTTAAAAATTGCACAGTTATTTTAGATATTTTATTATACAACAAAATATCTATTCCACAATCAAAACCAAACACAAGATGTACTAAACCCATGAATGTACTAAAAACAAAAAAAATAAGTAAATGAAAAAAAACTGGCAAGTACAGTTTCATACATTAGTCGCTGCCAGCTCCAGACTACTGCGAAGTGAAGCCGAGAGATAAAAGATCAGCTACTTAATTAGTTAATTAGTGAAACTCCTCATTCATCTGTTTTACACAATGCCCGGCAGATCATTAAAGAATGATGACAGTGACGGTATAATGACTGAACTGCATTTGTTTTTAAGTAGGTACCTATAACTTAGCAGCAGTAACAGCGCGACAGTCACCGCGTCGCGGTTTGCTGGATATGAGCTCCACGCATGGCTTGA